CTAACTGAAGGAAGACAGTCCAGCCTGCCCCGTGCGGCTCAGTTGGTTGGGGGTCATCCCGGGCACCAAAGGGTCGCCAGTTCAGTTCCCATTCGGCACATACCCAGGTTGCGGGTTTGGTCCCTGGTCAGGGTTCATATAGGAGGCAACCAATCGATGTTTCTCTCTCTCCCCGCTCCCTTCCTCTCTCTCTCTAAAATCAGTAAAAACATATTAAAAACGAGGTCTGCAAAGTGGGAAGAACACAGCTGATTGTGGCCGAGGTCAGCCCCAGTGTCTCTCCTAGCCCCTGACGGGTTCAGGTTTTGACCCTCAGGTGGGGGGTGGGGGTAGAAAAAGTACTGCTTGGATTTATGTTTGAGGAACATGGCCCAGGCCTGGGGCAGGTGACAGGCCCAGCCCGGAGCTGTCACCGTGACGATGGGTGGGGGTAGCTCAGATATGTTGAGCAGCTGGAACCCACAGAACTTGGGGGCTGTTTGAATGTGCAGGGCATGGAGAAGGTTCTAGGCTGCTCCCCTCCTGGCTGGCCTGGGGAGTAGGAGGTCAGTGTGGCTCGCGTCCATGCCACCGACCACGTCCCACCGAGCACCCACAGAAGTGGCCTCCTCCAGAGCAGCAGAAAGAGCAGGGCTTCCCCCAGGGACGGACAGGCTGGGACCAGAGGCCTGGGGCTGACATGTCTCCGGTGGCCACTCTTTTCTGCTCTCAGCCTAAGTCACGGTCATGGTGTACTTAGCAGTCAGTGGTCACTGCTCTTTCCCCGACATTGTCTGGCTGTACAGTCTCAATGTCCCTCGAAGCCGGCAGGCTTGTCTTGGTTTGACAAATGAGAAAATGGGCACTCAGAGGGCTTGGATCCTTGCCCATGGTCTCTAGTGCAGAGGTGGGCCAGACTCCAACCTGTGCCCCTGCCCAGCCCGACTGTGCCTGCCCCGGGCCCTCTGGAGCCCTCGGGGGGTGGCGTCTGCACCAGGCCCAACATGGAGAGGACACGCTGCTGAGCAGACAGACGGGCACCCAGCCAGCCCCAGACAACAGTTGGCCAGTGGCTGGCAGAGGTTTGCAGGCCTGGTGTCCTCGGAGCTGGACAAGAGCAGAACTGCAGCTGGGGCTGCAAGGTCACCGCCCACAGCCCAGAGGTCAGGGAGTCATTCTGTCGGAACCGGTAACCATCCACAGTGTTCTCATTCCCTTTCTTCAAACAGTACCTGAGTGCTTTTGTGGTTAAACACAGAAACAAAACAAATAGCCCCAGATTCCTGTGGGTTTAAATTCCTGCCCTTAATGGAACACACCTGCCCCATGGAAATCTTTAGTGAGAGAGTCTTATCCCCTCCCAGCCTGCAATCCACCCCCAGCCCTGAAGCAGGCAGCTGGCAAGTGATGGGGCGGGGGGGGGGGGGGGGGGGGGGGGGGGCTGACCTGATCCGGGCACCTGTCCTCTGCTGACACTGCAGGTGGGCCCTGTCTCTCCTCCTCCTCCCCCTTCCCGGTTAGTCTGACTGGAACTCCCCTTTTTCTCTCTCACCCCCAAAACCACTCCTCCCTCTGAATGGCTCCGCCCAGCGCCGGCACTGAGGACTAAAGAACTTGCCGGTGCTTAGACACGTGCCGCGGCCCTCTGCACCCGCCTCGAGTCCCCGGGACGGCGCTCCTGCCTGACCGGTAGCCCGCTGCCCCTCGGCAGCCTGCTTGCCTCCCAGCATGCCCACAGCCCCTTCCACGGCCTGTGCTCTGTCCCCAGGAGGACAGAGGTGTCCACCACTCTCAGGGGTCACGGGGGCATCGTAAGGGGCTCTGACAGAGGAACTTGGAGCCTTGCTGCTGGAGGCAGGGTCTGGGAGGAGGGGCAAGTGGCCTGCGTGGTCCGGAGCGCCTGTGTGGGCAAGCGAAGCTCCCAGACATCAGGGGCCGCCCCTGCCGCTCCGTGACGGCTCTGTACCTGTTTCCTTCGGCTGGGCGAGGGCGACTGTGCACCTCCTGTGCCTGTGAGGGTCAGCCACACCGTAGGGAGACAGGAACGATACTGAGTGTTGCACAGTGTATAACTTGGGAAGTTAAAGTGTTGCTGTTGTAGAAGGGCCTGGAGGCCTGGCTGAGGGCTGGGGGCCTTTGAAGAGTTGGGGCACAGAGGGACACAATCATGTTCAAGGTCAGAAAGTTTAGTCTGGGCAGGAGGGAGAAATGGGTGGGAGGAGCGAGGAAGGAGGAGCTGAGGCCGTGGTCCAGAGGCAGGGGGCGGTGGCCGGCTGGGGCAGTGGGGGAGGACCGGGTGGGAAGGGAACGGGGAAATGAGGGGGGAGTCTGGAGCGGGAATGTGCCAGCTAGAGAGGTCCAGGAGTCAGGGATGACTAACCTTCCTGGCCCAAGGGACGGAGTCACTGAGACGTGGCTTCTGAAGGAAGCAGGTTCTACATGGGTGATTAGCTACTGCCCCCTAACCCCCCGAGTAGGGCCCACCCCCTCTGCTCAGAGGGTGCTCTTCCAGCTCCCTTTGGTTCTTCCCAGGAAACTCAGTAAGTGTGTGAGTCCCCAAGGTGGAGAGACTAACACAAAGAAGACACACTCAGAACATCACTGTAGGGTGAACGCGTCCATCTTTCAACCCTTTAAAGGGAGCCCTCCTCCTCCCCTCCCCCAGCCACAATCTAGGGAATAAAGCAGACCACCCTGCTGCTGGGTCCTGAGCTGGACGCCTCAGCTGCCTGGCATGTGTCGGGCCATCCTGGCATCCATCTGGCTGCAGGTAGGACCCAGGGTGGAATGAAGTCAGGCCAATTTCAAAACCAAGGTCACAGAAGCCACAGTTCTGGGGAGCTGACAGGCCTGGGCTCAGAGCCTCGCCTCTTTGGGCGCCATAGGATTGGCACCATGCCCATCTGTCCTGCCTGCGCATCCCCAGTGCCCAGAGCAGAGCTGGCGCCCCTCAGCCTTCCCGACCCTTGTCGGCCGTGAACAGGTGACGAGTGCCTCCCTCGCAGGACGGCTGTGCCATCACACCACGCTCCGTGTGCCGGTCCATCGAGCTCTCTCGGTAGGTGGCAGATGGCTGACAGTGCTGTGCCAGCAGGTGTGTGCACCTGGAACCAGGGTCTGGAAGCCAAGGAGACAGCTATGGGGGAGGGGACATGCGTAGGCCCTGCCAGGACACCACGGTCTCACTGTCAACCTTAAAACGTCGATGAAATCCTGTCTTGTCACACACCTATGCCTGTAAAAGTGCGTGTGTGTGCCTGACATGCCAGCCGGGGGTCACGTGCGTGATGGAACGTGGCCTGAGAACAGCAGCGTAGGAAGTCGGCTGCGCGCTGCTGGGACTTAGAAACTGCTCTGTGTGCCGATGGGGTCGGGAAGGGGTCGGAGGTCCGTGAACGCAGCAGTGTGTTCGAGTGGAGGGACAGCACTTCGATTTTTAAAGAGCGTGTATGACTGCCCTCGCACGGTTCTACGCTCATCACTCACCTACCGCCTCCCCCACGACAGTGGGGGAAGGGCCAGCCTGGGCCCTGCACCAAGCAGATCTTCAGCAAACGGCCGTGAGCCGGCCTGGACAGAGGAGAACCTCATGGCTGACGCTCAGCTGGGAACCCTGTCCCAAGACAGCACCACCTAAACCCATGGAGGTGATGCGCACACAGCACTGAGTGCACCAGATGCCACTGGATTGCACACTTCGCTGTTTTTATAATTGTGATTTTTTTAATTGAATTTAATTGGGTGACATTGCTTAATAAAATTACATAGGTTTCAGTTGTACAATTCTGTAATACATAATCTGTACGTTTTATTGTGTTCGCCTCCCAATGAATTGTACACTTTAAAATGATTAATTTTAGCCTGGCTGGTGTGGCTCAGTGGATTGAGCATTGTCCCAAGAGGTCGCTGGTTCCATTCCCGGTCAGGGCACATGCCCAGGTTTGGGGCCAAATCCCCAGTGGGGGGCATGCAGGAGGCAGCCAGTTGATGTTTCTCTCACATCGATGTTTCCATCTCTCCCTCTAAATAATCAATTTTAAAAATAAAATGGTTTGCCCAACCGATGGGGCTCAGTGTTTGGGCGTCGACCCATGAACCAAGAGGTCACCGGTTCTATTCCCAGTCAGGCACATGACTTGGGCCCTGGTTTTGGGCCAAATCCCCAGTGGGGGACATGCAAGAGGTAGCCAATTGATGTTGTCTCTCATCGATATTTCTATACCTCTTTCTCTCCCCCCTCCTCTCTCCCTAAAATCAAGAGAAAAAAATTAAAAGGAAAAAAATAATAAAATGGTTAATTTTATATTATGTGACCTTCACCTTGATTTAAAAAAAACAAAGAACGAACTGTCACCCCCCTTACTGAGCACCTGCTCTGTGCCAGGTTCCATCTGGGTGGCTTCTCTGCATCACCACCGCTCAGGGCGGTTCTCAGGGTCTGCAGACAGGACCTGGCTCAAAGGGGCAGGCCAAGGCCAGGCCTGTCGGTAACGGTAACGGGTCTGGACCTTCCTGGGGCTGAGGGCTGTCTCTGGGGGAGTGGAGAAAGCTGTCGCAGCGGGGCCTCTGGGGCGTGGGGGCGGGGGAGGCAGACGGAGTTACTCTCCACTGCTTGCCACTTCGGAACTTTCTGAACATGTGAGCGCTTCCAAGTCAAAGGGAATACTTTATTTACAAGAACAAAACAAAACACATATTGTCGTGTCAAAGGCAAGCACCGTGAAGCCGCCCTCCTGATGTATGTGCCTGCTCGTGCTTTCGGTCCCCCGAGCCACGCTTCCCCGGCGGTCACAGGACAGCGGCACTCCCAGCCCAGTGCGGCCGCTGATGAGAACTGGGGCAGTTTAGGCAGCCTTGTTGACACAGCGCCTGGCCCAGCTTTGCTGCCCAGGGGCATCCATTGCCCTCCCTCCTCCCCCCTCTTCCCACCCTACCCCATCACCACACACCCCCACCCCACTGTTGGAGTTTGTTGTCTGGGACCCCACACGCCTTAGTGACTTGTGGTTCCCTCTTCTTAGAGAAAGCTACAGATGGCTCCCTGCAGAGCGAGGACTGGGCCCTCAACATGGAGATCTGCGACATCATCAACGAGACGGAGGAAGGGTAAGTGGCACAGGCGGGACAGCTGCGCCGTGCGGCGTGGACTCTGCCGCAGCCTGCCTCCTGCCGGGGAGCCCCCACTGGTGACCCTCAGTGCCAGGAGGGGCTGCAGAGGTCGTCTGAGCCCCGCCCCAGTCGGGAACGTGGCATTTTGGAACCACGATTCCGTCAACCCTCTCATCAGAGGGATAAGGGGCCCAGAGGTGCCGGTGTGCAGCTGGCCCCTGGGGCCACCCGCCTGCACAGCCTGCACAGCAGCCGGCCGACCAGACCTCCTGGGACAAGGCCAGCTGGCAAGGCGGAGTGAGGGCGGCCCGCAGCACCTTTCGCATGCTGGGCAGGAACGTGTGTGGGACTCCCGCCTTCTCAGTGAGCAAGAGCGGGCTCCCACTTCCTCGTCGTGCGAGGCCAGAGGGCGTGTCGGGGGTCAGGGGCCGTGACAGTGAAGCAGAGCTGAGTGGCCTTTGCTGAGCATTTTCACGCAGGGACCTCAGAGTCCGCGGTGCCGAGGAGCCCTGCCACGTCCCCACTCGGGTGGGGAGGCATGCTGCCCCACTCCTGGTCTCTGACTCGCCATCGCTGACCACTGTGGACCTTGGGCAAGCCGCTCCACCGCTCCAGGTCTTCGTCCATAAAGGCAAAACTCTTCTCAGTCCTTCTAGCCGTGAGCCCAAGGCCCCGAGGGGGCGGAGGGTTGCTGCGTCCACTGTGCTCAGGGAAGACCCAGGGGGGTGGGGAGGCGAGGGATGACCTTCAGCAGGAAGTGCAGCCAGACGAGGCCTCGGTTCTGGGAAATCAAGATCAACAGGTGCCCTGGCCGGTTTGGCTCAGCGGTTAGAGCATCATCAGCCTGCGGTCTGGAGAGACCCGGGTTCAGTTCCCTCTAAGGGCACGTACCTCGGTTGTAGCTTGTCCCCGGCCTTGGTTGGGTCGGGTGGGTGGCAGCCACTCGATGTGTCCCTTTCACATCAATGTTTCTCTCTCTCTCCTTCCCGCTCTATCTGAACAAAATATCAAAAAATGTCCTCGGATGAGGATTTTAAAAAAAAAGATCAACAGGTGGAGCAGGGTCTCGTTTCCCTCTCCTTTTCCAGTGGGATGGCCAGTGGTCTTGTGAGGGGTCCTCAGCCAAGCCATGCCTGTGTAGAGGGGCAGGCCGGGCGCAGGCAGCAGGGGGCACCAGATCGGAGCCCGGGGGAGGCTGTGGGCGGTTGCGTTGCTCAGTCGTGGCCAATCAGGAGAGCTGCTGCGCACCTCGTGTGTCCCCCGCGGGGCTCGTGGGCTTGCCAAGGAGCTAGAGGGGACACTCGCACCTACGTCTGGACCCTAAGAGTGGGGCTGAGAGTTGGGGGCAGATGTCAGGGCCACCAAGAGGGAAGACAGGAGGAGGACACCTCACAGGGCCTCTGCAAAGGTCCGGGGTGCGTGAAGGGGGCAGAGGTCGCTGCGGGTCCTTGTAAGCCTGACAGAGCTGGGGCTCCCATGCTCAGGTGCGCGCTGTTGGTTCGTGTGCCTGTGCCCCAGGCATGTCACTGCGGGCGCAGCAGCGGGCAGAGCAGACGTGGCCCTCGCCCACTGCGCCCGTCTAAGCCTTAGTCTCTTGTCCCTCTTCCACTGGGGCAGGGCCTCCTTGTCATCCGCTCTGGGTTCCTGGCAGAGTGTTAGGCACACACACCAGGTCCTCTGATGCCCAGTGCTGGGCCCACCACTCTGAGAGAAGTGGAGACAGGTCCCTTTGCAGCTGAAGTGGCCACAGGTGAGCGGCCCAGCCGGCAGCAGAATCCACTTCCCCCAGGGAGCCTGGAGGCGAGGAGCTGCCCCAGGGTATTGCATTGAAAACTTCCTCGCACCTCTGGGATGTCCCTCCCATCAGGGTCCAGGGTCTCACCCTGAGTGTCCTCCCCAGCTCGGCCCCTCACGGAGTACGCTCCCAGGAAGGCTTTCCTGCCCCCCTCTTGTGTTGGGTGACCTGTGTCAGGGCCCGCCTCTCCTGACTTGCCCTGGACTGGCCGGTACTGACAGGCAGACAGACGCCCAGGCAGACAGCAGGACAGGCCCCACAGCCCTCGCTGGCCCAGGGAGCGTGCTCATGCTCCCCGCAGCACGTTGGGCCGGGAAGGCAAGTCGTCCCCTAGGATGTGTCCCCGCCCTCGAGGAGGCGCCTGTGGCCGGCGGGCCCCTGGTGCCACAGGGCAGGGCACGCAGGGAGATGGAGGACGGGGACAGCATCGTGGGCTAGGACATGGAGGTTGGGGGTCACAAAGGCTCTTAGGCAAGAGCGGTCAGTCTGGGCGACGTTATCGATGTCACCTGTCAGGGCAGAGGGGCAGGGGGCAGGGGTGAGGTGTGGGGGTGGCAGTCAGGTTACAGATGGGACAGGGAGAGCAGGCTGCCACCGCGGCCTTCAGGCCCCCTCTGCCCTGCACAGAGGCTCATCCACCCCTAGTGTTCCAGCCCCTCCCTCCACCCTCCCCACGCCGTGTGGCCGTCTTCGGTGCCTCCCACCCCAGGGCCCTAGTCCAGGCTCTCGTCTCTACCTCACCACTGCCCCTGCCCCCACAGGGGCTCCGTCTCCTCCCAGTCACTCACCTGCGCTGCCACCTCCTGGGAGAAGACTTCCCTGCCCCCCCCCCATCACTTACACAGGACCCTCGTTTCCCTCTTCACTGGCTCCTGGGAACACTGACCTCTGAGAGCAGGGCGGTGTGGTCTCATCCACCAGTGTGTCCCGGCAGGCGGCCAGCACATGTGGGCACATACAGACGAGGGAAAGGGTGGGCGGGCAGAGGAGCTGGCAGGACAAGGCATTAGGACTCTACCTACAGTCCGGGCTCGTGAACATCCGTCTGCACAGGGTGTCCCTGGGCCGTGCTGGGCTTGCAGATCCCCGAGAGTTTGGCTCAGCAGGTTGAGGGGGTCAGGGTTCTGTGTTTTTGAGAAACACTCATACCTCCTCCCCAAGGTGTTCTGGCGCAGGGATTCTGGGGACCACATACTGAGAATCCCTGCCAGGTACTACTCAAGTTCCACCCGAGAATTTTGGTGGGGTAGGCAGTGTGTGGCGTGTTCAGAACCTGGATGTACAGGAAACAGACAGGACGGCTAGGAAGAGCACCCCATTCCCAGAGCCCCGATCTTAGGCAGGAGCCTGCGTGCCGGATCAGGAGGCCCATGCCTCCGCCCAGCCTTCCTTTTGTCCTCCGCCCAGGCCCAAAGATGCCTTTCGAGCGATAAAGAAGAGAATCACCGGGAACAAGAACTTCCATGAGGTGATGCTGGCCCTCACGGTGAGTGCCCTGGTCTGGCGTCTGGCCGTGGCAGGGCCGAGCCCCCTGGGGATGCCCCTCTTCCGGGGCTGGGAAGGAGAGGTCGGTGGGCAGAGCGCTGCTGGCAGCCGAGCGCCCGGAGAGGCCTCAGGGTCCAGTTCTCTCCCCCTTCTGGCTGTGAGCAGGCACACTGAGGCCCGCGTCCCCGCAGAACCGTCACGAGAGCCTGGGCCACAGGGCCTGCGGTGAGCCCGCTCCTCGCGGGCAGGGAGCCTGGCAGGCCCAGCGGGGTGTCCTCGGCGCTTGGACGCCCTGCCTGAAAAATGAACAGAAAACACATGCCGGTGGCTGAAGACACCCCTCGCCCGCACAGGCCGAGCTAGGGACGAGTGGCACCCTGGCTGTCGGGGCGGGTCTGGCGGGGAGCGCGGCGGGAGCTCCGTGCCCGCCTGCCCGCAGCAGCCTTACGTCCAGGGGACAGGCAGCTGCTGCGGGGACAGGAACAGGTGGCGAGGGGAGCTCACTGCCTTTTCCTGGGCCACGGGGTCTCTGCTCGATTGACGTTCTCTCTGGTTTCCACCTGGACAGCCCCCTCCCTTCCATCAGGACAGGGTTCTGTGGGCACTGAGGCCACTTCGTGAGGGCCCCTAGCCAGCACGCCGCCCTCTGCCACCCCAGCCCGGACCCCAGCGCTGTCCCTGCTTCTCCATGTTCGGGTCTCACCTCAGGGAGCCCCGTCTCTCAGCTGTCCCCTGGGACATAAGCAGAGTGTGAGGGTGGGGGCCCTGGGCGCTCCCCTCCCCTGATGGGTGCTCTTGGGCGCCTCCCGGATGCCAGGTCTTGGAAACCTGTGTCAAGAACTGTGGGCACCGCTTCCACGTGCTGGTGGCCAGCCAGGACTTTGTGGAGGGCGTGCTGGTGAGGACCATCCTGCCCAAGAACAACCCCCCCACCATCGTGCACGACAAAGTGCTCACCCTCATCCAGGTGAGGCGGGGTGGGCGGGGCGGGCGGGGCAAGGTGCCCACGCGGCTGCTGCAGTTGGCTTCCTGTTGGGCCGTCTTGTCTGCTGAGCGATGTCTCAGCGGGAGACCTGTCAGCCATGGGCCTTGCTGTGCAGTGGGCTGTCTGGGTGAGGCAGTCCAAGGACCAGCGGGGGGGGCTGCTGTCTCGGGCTGGGTAGGTGAGCACTAAAGGGCTTCAGTGAGCAGTGGTCACCGGCCATGCCTGTCCCCTCCCAGTCCTGGGCTGACGCGTTCCGCAGCTCGCCCGACTTGACAGGTGTCGTCGCTGTCTACGAGGACCTGCGGAGGAAGGGTCTGGAGTTCCCCATGACCGACCTCGATATGCTGTCGCCCATCCACACGCCCCAGAGGGTGAGGGGACTCACGGGGGGAGCGTTGGGAAGGGGAGGCCGGAGCAGTCACCGCAAGGGTTTCTGCAGCTCCCTCCTGGGCCCTGCCAGCTTCGCTGACCACTCGCTTGCCTTCTAGACCGTGTTCAGCTCGGAGACCCCATCGGGACAGAGTTCTGTGGGCACTGACGCCAGCCATCGGGGGGACCCCAGTCAGCACACGGCTCCTCTGCCCACCCCAGCTGTCCTCTCTAGCGACACACCCATAGCACCAACCCCTGAGCAGGTAAATGGGCCTGGGTCAGAGCCGAGAGGGTCAGGGTGGGGGCTGAGTCCTCACAGCAGCCTCACAGGTGTGTGGTCCTCTCCCGGTTTGGAAGACGCGGCTCAGAGACAGAAATTCATTGGCCCAGAACCACACAGCCCATCAGAGACAGAGCTGGGATTCAAGCTCAAGTCTGTCCAGCTCCAAGCCTCCCTGCCTCTGTCCTGGCGGCAGGCTGTGTCCTGTACGTCAGCCATTCTCCAGATTTCTCCGCGGAGCCCTCAGGCAGGGAGCGAAGTGCCTGCGGGCAGCCCGTGTCCGTAGCAGCCCCGCGCTCTTTGTGGTTTCTTGTGTGCTCACATAGGTGTCATTCGAGCAGAGGTTCCAGCTGAAACAGTTCTAAAGCATCCACACCAAAAATAGTTCTAAAACCCTCGCATTGCACGCTGATGCTTCCTGTGGAGCCCCGAGAAGATTTGAGGCGCAGTGTGAGATTCCAGGGGTCGGCTGGCTTCCCCAGGGCCCTGTGAGGAGCTGTGGAAGGTCACCCTCCTCAGACTGGGTCTTAGTCAGCCTTTGTCCCTCAGTTTCTCCTTCCCGAAGCTGGAGGCCAGGTGCCCTGCCCGCCGGCAGGAGCAGGTCGTGGCGTGCGGAAGCTCTCTCCCTGCGAGGGATGTCCTCAGCCAGGACCAGCGTCAGCTGGTGCTCGGTCATTTGGCTGCGGGCGTGGGTCAAGGCTTGCACTGTCGGGGTGCCCCTGGAGTGTCTTACAAACAGCCCCGTCACATCCGCTGAGTGTAAAAGCTGAGCTGCCGACAGTGCTGGTGGGAAAGATACGGGCATGTGAGGGGAGCGACGCGAGGCTGGTCGCTGGCACGGTGCCCTGGGCTTGCAGACAGACTTACCAGACAGCCCTCCACACTCCGACCTCTGAGATCTCACCACGTCACCTCCCCGAGTTACACATGTCACTAGGAAAGTTTTCCTAACTAGACAAATAATTGAAGGTACATAAAAATTCTGACATCAGCCCGGCCAGTGTGGCTCAGTGGTTGAGCACCGACCCATGCACCAAGAGGTCGCCGGTTTGGTTCCCATCCTGGTCTGGGCACATGCCCAGGTTGTGGGCCCAAACCCCAGTGGGGGGCATGCAGGAGGCGGCCAGTCGATGTTCTCTCTCGTCCTCTCTCTCTGAAAAAATTAAGAAAAAAAGTATGTGACATCACCCTGTGATCCAACATTTATCTAACCCAGTGAGGAATTGAACCAGTTTGCCTGAAGTCTAGCATCTCTCTGGATTAAGTCTCTGACCACGTCTAGTGCAGCAGGCTCTCACTGAACAAAACTGCATGGTCTGTTCGTTTCAGAGCCCCATTGTCTCCTGGGACATGTAAGACTGAGACACTCGGTGATGTAACTGACTCGTAATTGGGTCCCATCTGACCGGGGCAGTTTTTCCATTCACTTGCACCAGGCGTGCTCGTTAAGTAGGCCAGATGGATCCAGCGCGCTCGGTGCGCAAGGCGTCAGACCGTAGAGGCCGCACCGCCCGTGTCTGCGCTCACGTCTTCCTCTGTAAAGGCGGCGCCTTGTGAGACGGTGGTCACGTTTCACTAGCACAGACGTGATGTGCTGGGCACTTCTCCTGTGGTCAAGAAAAAGCCACTGTCACAGGTGTCGTAATTTACATAGTGACACTCAGATTCTGAAATCCACTAGGTCACCCGATTCCGAATGCATGAGCGTTTCCCAGGGTGTACGCCACTTAATACTAGACCCTTGAGATGTTCCGTGATCCAGGGGTTCTTCAGCCAGGTCACTTGGAAATTCATACTGACCCTGCCCGCCGTCCACAGTGCGCACTGTGCTCGTGAGGGGACTCCACCCCGCAGAGCCCACAGCAGGAGACACCCCACCCAGGGGAAGAGACTGATAGATTTACCACAGCCCCCCCAGCCAAGACCTTCACCCTTTGATCACGGGAAAGCTGCTCACCCCCCTTAATAAGTACTAAATCTGAGTCTTGTGCTCAGACTGGGGGCGGCACTGGGATTCATCCCCGGAAGAGCCCAGAGCACCAGCGCAGACCCGGGACCACACACAGACTAGGAGCAAGACAAAAAGCCCGTCAGCCTAGGAGAGGAGAGAGGGTGACTCCCACCACCCGAGACGGGAAGCAGGCCTCTGGCTCCCTCCTCTCTCCTTGGGGGACTGCCCTTCGGGGCCTTGTTAGCTGCCTGCACCCAGGGGATGCTGAGCCTGCCGGCACGCCCTGCGGCGCAGTCGCCTCTGCTGCTTTCCTCTCGGCCTCTCCCCGCACCGGCTCCCCAGTCTGGAGATGATAACGGTTGGTAGAGCCTCTGTGAAGGGCCTGTGGCCTGGAGGTCAGCTCCTCTGGGCACCACACCCGCGGCTGGTGGCGCCAGGCTGTCCCTGGGAGCTGCGTTGGCTCCAGACCCCGGGCCCCTCACCCGGGCGACGGTGTGTTTCAGGTTGGGAAGCTGCGCAGCGAGCTGGAGATGGTGAGCGGGAACGTGAGGGTGATGTCGGAGATGCTGACGGAGCTGGTGCCCACCCAGGCGGAGCCCGCAGACCTGGAGCTGCTGCAGGTGAGCACATGCGCCCTCCCCGGCCACGTCTCGCTCCTCCGGCCCACGCGTTCCTTCCCCACCCACGCCGCACTTCCTGTGCTGACCGCGCTCCTGGTCACCTGAGTGCTGAAACCAGGGACTGCGACTCTGGCGGATTGGAACGCAGACCAGCCCCTCTGCCGCAGCGCCAACGTAGCCTTCATGGCACAAGTCTGGCCTGAGAGTCGGGTTAGGTTTTGCCTGGTTCAGAGTAAGCTCCCAAAAACCGGTGCTGAGAAAGGGTGGGCGGGCGTAGCCTCAGAGTGCGAGCTCGGCGGGCGCGAAAGCGCCGGGCACTGAGGCAAGTGGGAGTGTGGGCCTCCTGTGTCCCGAGATCGGCCCCAGCTGGTGAGAGCGTGGGGTTACTGGAGCAGCAGGGGCTGGGTTAGGGGAAAAGCACCTTCCCCTCGGAGGTGTGTTTGTCGAGTCACCAAGAAAGCTGGGGGACCCCAAGGCGCAGGAGTGGCCAGAACCCCTGGGGGCGCAGTGCTCGGTGGTGGCCTCTTTGAGTCTGTGCCCGCGAGACCCGCTCCTGGAGGCTGTGTCTGCCTGGGCAGGGCCCTTCCCTCGGCGGCAGGACGTAGTGTCGGCGTGGGAGAACACGGTGCGGGGACGGTGCGGGCTGTGAGGGCCGCTCGAGGAAGTCAGGAGGCAGCAGGGTCACTCGAGTGCAGTTAATTTTGTGTGTCCCCAGCCAGGGTCTGAGGCCTGAGTGACTGCTGGGCGGGCGGACTGGGTGACAGGGCAGCTCCCATGCACGAAGCATGTCCGCGTGCCAGGTTCTGATGTCGACGCTTAATACACATTCATTTATTTAATCTTCACCCTCTCCTATGAGGCAGGGTTCACCCCCATTTTCCAGGTCAGCAAACTGAGGCAGAGAGGCCATGTGGTGTGTCCAGGGTCCCATGGCTGGTGAGCAGCAGAGCTGGGACCTGGGGCCTGGCTCCACCTGCTGCTCTTGAGAAGACAAGGAAGTAAGGACAGAGCCACAAGTGTGCTTGGTCATGGGAGGAAGAGGGCGGAGACCCACCGGACGTTGAAAGTCACATGAAAGGCAGATAAGGGAACCCCAGGAGGAGAAGGCCTGACCTAGGAGGGGGCGGGTAGCAGGGTCCAGAAAGAACCGAAATCAGTGTCGGGCAGCGTGGGAAAGCGCTGGTTGTGGCCACGGCACCAGTGCCCGTCCACAGTCTGTCTGGACCTCAGGACCGTGGCCCAGGCGCCTGAGCAAAGGAGCGCTCAGCCTACAAGTGGATGCTCACGGGCTGTGGCTTTTCCTTTCTCTTCCCAGCAAGTTTACCGTGTGACACTTGCTGATGGAAAGTCCGCCAGCGAGCCCTGGCCAGTGGGCTCGGTGGTTTGGTCGGCATCCCATGCACCGAAAGGTTGTGGGTTCGATTCCCAGTCAGGGCACATACCCAGGTTGCGGGTTTGATCCCCGATCAGGGTGCATATGGGAGGCAAGTGATTGATGTTTCTCTTTTTCCTCTCTCTCTCCCTTTTCTTTCCTCTCTAAAGCCATTAAAAAGCATATCCTTGGATGAGGAAAAAAATAATAAACGGGGGGGGAAAAGCCAAACTATTTTTTAAGTCCACCAATGCCATGGCGACCGTGTGCAGTGTGGGGTCCTGGACAGAAAGGGCGTCAGTGGGAGGACGGAGCCTGCGTGGACCTGCGGTCTCGTTAGTAGCCTGCACCGTGTTCCTGTCTTAGTTCGACAGACACCAGACTAAGGAGGAGAGAGGGGAAGGCTCATAGGAGCTCTCTGGACTGTCTTGGCAACTTTTCTGCGAATCCAAAAGTATTCCTAAATAAAAGTATTTTTTTTAGGCTCACAGGAAAGTAAGTAGTGAGAACAATGAGGCAAAAATTCAAAATCGGGGTTTGTGGGTAGTGGTTGGAATTGGAGTTATCTAGCTCGCGCTTGTGTGTTGGTTACAAAAAGGAACACCAGTACACCCAGAGAAGTGGCAGCCTCAGTGTCCAGCGAAGCAAAGGTGGCAGGGACTTCCTTCCGAGGTCTGCGCAGAGCAGCAGCCTTGACCATGCTGGCTGAGGACAGCGCGGAGCCTCAGGCGCGAGACTCGGAGGCTCACTCGCAGACCCTGAGCTGTTCTGTGGAGCCTGACGTCCAGTCTGGGAACCTCGTTCTCCGAGGCGCACCAGGGGCCAGAGCCCATCCTTGAAAGATGGCCTCCCTCTGGGTCCAGTGGCCACGGATGTCTTCCTCACTTCCTGCAGGAGCTCAACCGGACGTGCCGAGCCATGCAGCAGCGGGTGCTGGAGCTCATCCCCCGGATCTCCAACGAGCAGCTGACGGAGGAGCTGCTCATTGTCAACGACAATCTCAACAATGTGTTCCTGCGCCACGAACGGTAGCCCACCCTCCCGGCATCTGGCCAGCGGCCCCCCCTTTCGCCTGCCCTCCCACCTGTGCTCCTGGTCTCCCCATGCTGGCTGACGTTTTATTTCCCTCTCCAACACCAGGCCTGCCACCCAGTGCACGTGTCCTCAGCTGTGTTCTTCAGCATGGGCGTGCACACCCAGCCTTCCCCCACCCTCACCTCCTGCCAGAGTGCGCCCTGCACCTCTGTCCCTGCGTCCGGCCCCCGAGAGGATGGCCTGGTCTGTGCTCGCTCGCTCCACACTGCCTGGCGCCGGGGCCTTGGGCCACATACTTGACTTAGTTAGGGCTCTTTGACTGCAAGCTACACAAAGCTTTTCTGGCTGACTTAGAAAAAGAGTGGATGAGATGAACAGCCTCTATTAAATGCGTAGCTTTTAGACTCTGAAGAGTGAGTGAGCTGGGCCCGTGTGGCTCAGTGGACTGAGCTCGTCCCACGGCCTGAGAGGCCCCTGTTCGGTCCTGGTCAGGGCACGTGCCCGGGTTTCAGCTTCCGTCCTCAGTAGGGGGCGTGCAGGAGGCAGCAGATAGATCGCTCTCACATCGATGTTTCTCGCTCTCTCTCCCGTCCTCTTTTTCTAAAAATTTAATTTACTTTAAAAAGGAAAAAAGAGTGAAATAGCGAGGCAGACAGATCCTAGGGTGGCCCAGGGGTCCCTGGGGCAGAAGCTTCTAGGCCATGTCCCCAGGGTGTCCCCAGCAGTAAACGGGTCCAAGCGCTTCCCTTGTATCATCCTGCTCAGGGGTCAGAGCCCAGAGAGAAAGTCTGGCTCAGCTCTGTTGTCCCCCAGGCTGGGCGACAGGAGGGCCCCTTGATGGCAGCCCCTCCAGGCTCACAGGAAGGGGGGAAGCAGTTCCCCAGAGAAACACTCAGGCGCTACTACAAAAGAACAGAGAATGGGGGCTGGGCTGCAGAAACCATCCCCCACACTTGTCCAGATCTGTAAAACGGGGCGCAGGGTGGCTCCTGCCCTGTAGGGTGACGGAGCCCGTGCCGTCGGGTCTGCAACACGGTGTTGGGTCAGGACACGCTGCCCAGCCTCCTCTTCGTCCGTCACAGACTCTCGCTCAGTGAGTCTGGACCAGTTGAGAGAGGGGTGGGCTCTGCAGGCCGCATCTGCCCCTCTCCTGCACGCTGGCCCAGTGCCATTTCAGGGGGTGGGCTGTGAGGTGGTCCAAGGGCCTGACCTGGGGGTGACTGGGACCCCTCTGCACCCACTGTCATCAGTCCTGGCATTTGCCTGATGTGCTTCCCTGTTCCCACTCAGTGTCTCTGCTTGAGCCTCATGTCTGGGAGGCAGATTCCACTGTCACCCCGTCTCTTAGACAAGGAGACGACGTGCAGAAGTGATGGGGTTTACCCACGGTCACACAGGTGACAGGGCCAGGACTTGCACAGACCCCAGGCCACAGTCTCCTCGGTCCCCCTCCCACCGCCTGGCCCGGTGCAGTGTAGGGATGCCTGTCTTCCTGGCCACACAGGGAGCTGCTGGCGCGCACACAAGCGTGTGTCCCAGCACGGTCCACGGGACGGCCCTCCCCTCTGCCCTGTGCCGTGCTCCCCGTCTCCTCTGTCTCTTTTTTTTTTTTTGGTACGTGCCCCTAGAGGGAACCGAACCCGGGACTCTCTGGTCCGTAGGCCGATGCTCCAGCCGCTGAGCCAGACCGGCCAGGGCTCCTCTGTCTCTTCCCACTCCCCGGTCTAATGCCTGTCCTGACTGGCATGGCCCGACAATTGATCGTCCATATTGGGACACTTTCGAAGTGAAAGAAGCACTGTTAGTTCCCTGGGGACATCGGGCATCACTGGGTCTGACCAGGACAAGTGACGTGTCGTCACCCTCGCTGACCTGCAGTGTGGGGACTCTGCCGGGGCTGTGCCCAGGGCCTTCTGTCTGCCTCCCTGACTCGGCTCTTTGTCTCGCAGGTTTGAGCGGTTCCGGACGGGCCAGACCACCAAGGTACGCAGCTGCTTTCCCGGGACTCGGTCCTGCCCTTGTCGACAGAGAAGGGCTGTGCTCACCTCCCCCTGCCCCCATATCCTGGGCGGGATGTGCCTTCTTACCTAGGCTCCTGGCAAAGTCCCCTTCCTACTTTCTGTGTCACTGTCCCTTTAAGGCTCTGCCACCAGCTGATGCCCAGGGGTCTTCCCGCCCTCCCAGAGGGAGCAGCAGAGCTAGAGACAAGGGGAGAAAGGAAAACTGCGAGGTCATAGCTGCCAGGGCCCAGGCAGGCGCCAGGGCTCAGGGGCGAGGGCGGTGAGGCCACGGCGGGGTGACGGCGCGTCTCCCTTCCCCAGGCCCCAAGTGAGGCTGAGGCGGCTGCTGACCTCATCGACATGGGCCCTGACCCGGCAGCCACTGGCGGCCTCTCGTCCCAGCTGGCAGGGATGCGTAAGTGCGGGGCGCCCCGGGCGCTGTCCTGTGATGCCATTGGAGCTGGGGTGCCAGCGGCAGGGTGTCAGCCCAGACCCCACCTCACCGGGTCCCGAGCTCAATCTCGCCACAAGGGACAAAACACGTGGGACTCTCCCTCACAGCCCCACAGCGGCTGAGCCTCAGAAGCCCACTGTTCTGAGACTGCCCCTCGACCCTGAACTCTCATGGCGGAATCATGAGAGTTCATGATCCCGTGAGTGTGGGCAAGTCTCTGCTGCTCTGTGATGGGCAGGACTGGCCCTTCCTCACAGGTGGTCATGGAGACCAAATGAGCTCGGCATGAACCAGGCGCAGACCGGTGCCAGGCCCAGAGTGTGCCCCCAGCACACGTTAGCCATCGCTGGCACGTCACTGTGATTAGTTTAATATTATTGCCTGCCTGCTTCCTGCCAAGCCCTTGGAGGTCATTCCGAGTGAGGAAGTGACTGTGCCCACGGTCCCTCAGCCAACAGGTGGCCTGCCCCATCCATACGTCCTGCCCTTGTCCACCCCCCTCCGTGCTGCTTATCCAGAGCCAGCCCTGGCCTGACGGAGCAGCGTGGCCATCGCGTGTACAAGGACAGTGGGTGGAGTCTTAGGTGGCCTTTCTGTCCTGCAGACTTGGGCTCCGGCAGCGTGAGAGCTGGCCTGCAGTCTCTGGAGACCCCTGGCCAGCTGGAAGACGAGTTTGACATGTTCGCGCTGACACGGGGCAGCTCGCTGGCTGACCAGCGGAAAGAGTGAGTGGCCGGCCCACCTGATCCCTGCAGTTTGGGTCGCTTCTTATCCGAGGAGACTCTCCAGGCCCCTGAACCCGCTTGTGGGTGGGCACACCCTGTGGAAAAGCACATAGCCCCCTGCCCATGCCCCCTCGGGATGGCACACTTCCTTCCTCCTAAGTCCCACGTGGCCCAGAGAGCCCATGGCCCGGCGGCAGACTGACTGGCCCCCGGGCAGAGCTGGATGGGGAAGGCCCACCTGTAGGTCGGTGACCAGCTGTGTGCCAGGATCTTATGTCATGTGATCAGATGAGGAAACAGGCACCGAGAGCCTGTCATTTGCCCCAGGTCAGGGAGCTAATTGGCTTCTTGGGTTGGGAGCCTGGGTCTGTCTGTGCGTGAACAGTGTCTCCAGCCCGACTCGGGCGCCTGCGCCGTGCGTGGTGCACGTGCCCTCTGGGGTAGGGAAGCTCCTGAGCCGTCCTCGGGGGCTTGCGCAGACATTCCGTCGTTCCATTGCCCCGTCACCCTACTGGGGCCTGCCCACTGCCCCAGAGCTGGGCTTCTGCCCTTCCGTGGGCCTCTCCACATCCAGGGAGATGCTTTCAGCAGCCAGGGCACGTGGCCAGCCCCTTGCCTCGACTTCCCACGGTGGAGATTCCGTGTAGGTGTCGGAAGCAGTGTGCCGAGGCTTGCTGTCAGCCCCTTGCTTATGAACTCTGGTCTGAGCTGGGGCTAGCCAGACGGACAGTCAGGAGAGCTATGGACTAAGGAAGCTTCCCAGTGGACCCCCAGCTCCCTAGTGGTCATTCTGGCGTCTTTGGAGGCCCCAGAGCTACCCTCTCCACCTGGCTCCACGGCCATGCCCGCCTCTGGGAAAAGGAGGGCTGATGAGCCATGAGCCGCATCACTGTTCGGGGACATCTGCAGTCCCAACCCCGAGGGCTCTGGGGCCGGGGCCCACAGGTGCCATGGAGTCAGGGCCCTGAGGCTGCTGTGCAGGCGCAAGCTAGTGAGTCTGGTGGGACGTCAGAGCCAGGAGGGTGGCCCACCCCAGCAGGCCCAGGCGGGTGGCGCACTGGCCGTCCCAAAGCCCCTGGCACCAGGCCCTCCACTGCTGCAGGCGTGACCCCCAGGGATGGCGGGGCCTCAGGCTGTGCAGGGGTGTGTGGCAGGGAGGAAGAGAGGCATGGGAGTAATTAGGAAAGAACTTTCTTCGAGGGAAGGGACACATCGGTTTCGGTTTGTTCCTAGGGCCAGACCTGCCTTATTCTGGCTTTGTCCACAAGGCACCTGCCGTGTCTCAGGCACAGGGACAGCAGCATGACTGCTTCCGCACCGAGCGAGCAGGCCGCCGGGGTCAGGGCGCACTGCGCAGCCTTTGGCATCTCTTCCTCCCTGCTGGCGCCCGCGGCCCAGATTTAGCAGGGGTACTGCGCCGCGCTCCAGAAGGGCATGAGCACACGCCCGCCCTTCCCCGCTCCCAGGCTGGCTCCAGCGAGGCCCTGCAGATGGTCCCCAGAACGAGAGCCTGCGTCCAGGGCGAACCGGCGCGTGCCAGCGCTCTGCTGCTGCGGCCGTGGGCGGGCGTGGCCAGCGCCGCTCTTCAGAATAGCCGCATGGGAATGTGGGGGCTTATCCAAGAGGCCCCTGCCGTGCCAGCCGCCCGTTCCCTGGAGGGTGGATGGGCAGTGCAGGAAGGAGTTCAGTGGAACAGGGTTCCAATTCCCAAAGCCGGGAGCTAGTGCAGCCCCGGCCTCAGCAGAGTGCGGGTGCTCCCCACCCCAGGCCCCACCCACAGCTGGAGGAAGCTCCCTGTCCCCACCCGTGCAGCTGGGATTCTGGGGCTCACTTCTGCCTAGTGCTGGCTGACCTGGTGCTACGGTGCCATGTCCTCGCTGCTGCCGGCTCAGAGGGAGAAAAAGCATCTTTCCAAGCATCAGGGCTGCCTCCCCTGGGCCTCCCCTGCCTCCCGGCTCCTCTGTAGCAGCTAGGGGAGGCACCCCAGCCCCCACTAGCCTGGGTTTTCTTCCTGCTCCTGGCTTATTTTCTTGCTCCCTTGAGACTTCACCTCAGATCCACCAAACACCTCCTTCCCTGTCCTCTGCCTGGGAAAGTGCAGTGTCAGCCCCGCCCCACCCGTCACCCCACCTTCCTCCCCACTATTGCCGGGATGGCTGGCGTCCCCAGAGGACGGTTAGAATCAGCCTCCTCCGCTGCCAGACTGGGGGTGGGGGTGTTCACGCGGGAGCCAGCGCAGATGGCGCCTCACCCAGCAGTTGCCGCACTGGCCGCGGGCTGGAGTCCCCCCTGCAAACGCAGCCTTGTGCGGTCTTGCGGTTTGTAAAGGTAGCGGACGGGAGCTGCTCAGAAAGGGCTGAAGACGGGACCTCTTCCTGAGTGTGGGGTCATTGCCCTATTTCTCATTCCTGGAGTTTAGCCAAATCTGGCGACAGCCTTTGGCGATCTTGTTCCGTCTTTGGCCAGCAACCCCCTCCCTCCCTCCCTCCTGCAGCCATGTACCCACCATGCAGTCACCCCTGACCCCAGTCCCAGAGGCAGGAAGTGGGGTCCTCTCCATCCCAGGCAGGCCTGCAGGTCTGAGCCCTCAGTCGGGGCTCAGGGTTGGAGCCCTGCCCGGGCCCGACCGACCCAGGTCCACACGGGATGTGAGTCCAGCTCATCCCTGCCCGTCCCCCCAGTGTCACATCAGCTGGCACGCCTGGTTCGGCAGGGCAGCACCTGACAGCCATGGCGGCCTCTGTGTTTCAGGGTAAAATACGAAGACCCCCAAGCTACGGACGGGCTGGCGGGAGCCCTCGACGCCCGGCAGCAGAGCACCGGAACGGTGAGCAGAGGGCCCAGGAGGACGCGGGCGTGCTTGCCCCCACCCTTTCCTCGCTTGGTTTTCCCGTGGGCCCTTTGTGGCTGACGTGAGGATTCCCAGCCAGAGGTTCAGTCACCTGCCCCAGTTCATGTGGCGGGAGGGTTAGAGCGAAGACTCGGTCCTGAGTCAGACGGAGTGGAGCCCAGCAGCCAGGGTCCCAGGCAGGCGCCTGTCGCGCCTGACGCTCCGTCCCTCACCTGCAGCTGGAGCTTACAGTGTGTCTGCTTGGTTTACGCGGTGCATGAGAGCGTGTTCAAGGTGCGTGAGAGCGTGTTCAAGGTGCTTGGCACGGACGGAGCTCAGGCAGTGTTCCGCCTCGGCCTCTTAGAGACCTGTGACTTTCAGGAGTGTGGACAGAGGGGACAGGGGGACAGAACAGGAGCTGCAGCATCAGCCCCTGCCCCTCCCAGCCCATCAGCCTCAGGGAGCCACCTGGGCACCTGTCAGTTCCATTGAACTGCTGACTGTTCTGCGTGACAGCCAGGGGCAGCACTGAGCACGCCCTGCCGTGACCCCTCCCGCTGACCAGAACTCCAGGCACACTTCTCATACCTGAGAGCAGGGTCTGGACGCCGTCTGACAGTGAGGACTCTGTCCCCGGGAGCGGACAGAGGTGCTCCTCAGGAGGTGGCTGGGAGCTGCGGGCCGGGGCTGGAGGGGCTGGAGGGGCAGGCGCGGAGGCGAGGCTGGCGGAGGAGGGGTGGTGACGGGCGTCGGGCAGCGGGGAGGGCTGTGGGATTGTGCCGTGCGAGGGAGCGGTGGGCAGGCTTGCGCAGAGGGGCATCTGCCTGACTCGTTCGGAAGGCCCGGCGGGGAAGCTGGGGGAGCAGTGAGGGGCTGTGGACCCGCTGGTGCCCGGGGTGCGCGGCTGGTGGCGCCCGCTCCTTCCCCGAGGCAGCCCCAGCGTCTCAGGGGTCATTCCCCAGCCAGGACGGGGAGGGACCTGGCACGCTGGAGGCAGGGCCAGCGAGGATCAGGTTTCCTGGGTGCGTTGTGTGGCCTGTCGCCCCCGAGCCTCCGCCTGTTTCTGTGAGCGGTGGTCTGTCGAGTCTGACCTGAGCCTGGCCTGCGCTCAGCTGTCTACATCGCCCCTACTGAGGCACCACACAGACCCTAAGATGTGATGTGACCCCCTTCACCGAAGGGAGACTGAGCCCAGCAGGTCCAGGCAGCCCACAGATGTGCCTGGGTGGTGCTGGCCCTGGGGAGGCAGGTCGTCTCCTGCTGCTGTGCGGCTTCTCTCTCGGGAGCGCGAGGCCCAGGGCCCCTCCCCTCTCCGTGTGTCTGGCCCAAAGCCAGTGCTGGGGACAAGAGCCCCGGAGGGCCTGCAGGACTCCAAGGGCAGAGGCCGTCACTCTGGCTCCAGGAGTCCTGGCTTCGGACCTGGAAGCCGGCCAGAGCACTTTCCTCTCGGGCCACCTGGCCTGTGGCAGCGAGCAGCCATCCCAGCCAGCCGTTCCTGTTACACACCAGGGCGCCGCAGCCCAGGGACAGGTGTCACTTGCCCAGGGGCACACGGCAGCTGGGGACACGGAGGACTAGAACCAGGCCCCCGGCTGCTGCACCACCTTGCAGTCAGCCACAGGGAAGAACGACACAAGAACTGATAAGGATGGTTCATTCATTTCTGATAACTGGAGAGGTTTAAGCCACCTCCTCTGGGTCAGGGTGACTCTTAAAAGCCTGTCAGTAACACCTGTGCCCCAGGTGCTTCAGTCTGGCTGGAGGTGGACTTGCCCCCCCCCCGACCCGTCCGACGGGATTCCAAGCAGCCAGTACGGCGTGGGATCGAGCGCCAGCCCCGTGGCAGCCAGTGCCCGCCCCCCAGTTCACGTGCTGACGTGTGGACGTGTGTGCCCGGCCCCACGTGGGTCAGGCCATCATGGGGAGGCAGGACTCTCGTCTCCCAGTCCCACCAGTGTGCTCCAGGGCCCAAGGAGCCTCGGTGCCATCAGTAAACGCGAGGCGACTGGGTAACCAGTGTCCAAGCCTGAGGTGCCCATCAGAATCCCCTGAAGGGCAGCTGCCGCCTCTGCCTTCCTGGATCGCTCAGGACCCCTCCGGGCTCTGTGGGAAGGGTGAAGCTTTGCCCAGCCCATTCAGGGCTCTGGGGGCCCAGGCCTTTGAGGTTCACCCCACAGTGAGACACCCTCTGCTGCTTCCTGTCCATTCGCCTTCCGCCACACCCACACGCGTGCACACGCATGCACAGGCACACGCACAGGCCCAAGGCGGCAGCAGGTGTGCTGACGAAGGGCGCGCCCTGTTGGAGGAGGCTGCCGGCACACCAGGGGCCCCGGCCCGTCCTTCCCGCCTCCCTCAGTGCGGCCCTTTCTCCCCAGATGGGAGGCGGCAGTGCGAAGACCCTCAGTGACTGGATGATGAGACAAGGCATGGTGAGGAGGGGCCGCCGGAGAGCTGCGCTGGCACCGCAGCGCCCCCCCGGGGCGGACTTGTCGCCCGGGGTGAACCAGGGCACCATGGGCACCTGGGCAGCCAGGGGCCTGCTGGGCCTAGTCCAGCACTCGGTGCGGCCCTGCGCCTTCCACTCCTGGGTCCCTGGTGCCCACTTCTGGCTCCTGACTGGGGAGCAGGGCGCAGCATCCCCTCTGGTAGCCGGGTGGCTGGGGCTTGCCCGCTTCCGAGCAGAGAGCCAGCAGGTCGCTGAGTGGGAGAGGGCGCCGGTGGGGGCAGCCGAGCTCTGGCTGCTGCGGGCGCCCAGTGTGCCAGGAAGGGGCGGCTGCCTCCTGGCTCCTGCTGCGCGCGGGCTCGGCTGCTGGAGGCAGCTCGGGCATCGGGCATCAAGTAGGCTTGGTGGGAGAAGGACGCCCTCCGCCTCTCCCGCTGCCTCTCCCTCCGCCTCTCCCGCTGACTGACTGGTAGCTAGGGTCTCTTGGGCATCTGCTCTGTGCCGGGGTCTGTGCTAAGCTCTTCATATCCATCACCTCACTCAGTCCTCTCCGCAGCCTGGACGGTAGGTACCGTTACCCTCTGGCAACACGAGCAGTGTGAGGTTCAAGGAAATTAAGTCACATCGCAGTACGGACGGGGCTGCGCCAATTTCAGTCTCCGACTCCAGAGTCTGCCCAGAACTCCCGCCGGCCAGGCTCTCCCACTGAAGGAGCTGTCAGGGAAGGGAGTCCGCCCCGCCCCCGCCCCCCCCCCCCGCGCAGCCTTTGCGGCAGAGCCAAAGGGAAGCGTCCCTGTGCGCAGCCCCAGCCCCCCTGGGTCCCCAGCCTGGCCTCTTCAGGTCATGCGGCTCCTCCCTCCACTTGGGCCCTTCCACCATGAACTCTGAGTCGGTGGACACGCAGGGAGACAACCTGGCAGCCCCTTGCCCTCAGTGGTGCCCCCACCCCAACCCCAGTGGCTCGCCCTCCGAGTCTGTCAGAGGCCCTCCCCCTGCACTGGAGCGCACACACCCTCAGTGTGTGGACGCCGGGTGTCCGTTTCCTCCTGGCTTTGTTTCAGCTGTTAGGAGCCCCCTCCCCGGCCCCCGCTTAGCCCACTGGCCCTGCATCCCCCTTGCCCACAGCCTGGCATTATGGACAGAATTTTAGGTCCCAGGCAGGTGGGCAAGAGCCATCTTGAAGGGGGTGCCAGGGTCTCGACTCTCAGAAGGGAGCGGGGCAAGTCTGGCCCATTTCGTGAGGAGGCTTGGGTTGGTGTCTGCCCCCGGCCACCCAGCCAGTAGGCCCCAGCGGGGGGCTTGTGCACCTCCCTGCCTCACTCTGCCCCTCCCTTCCAGATCCCTGTCACCCAGGCCTGCCTCATGGAGGACATCGAGCAGTGGCTGTCCACCGACGTGGTAAGTCACCCTGCCCAGCCCAGAAGCAATGCTCAGACCCACTCTGAATGGCTGGTCATGGGAGCAGGGTGGACAGCTAGTGGGTGACAAGGGGAGCGTTACTGTGGGACACCTCAGCAGCTGGAAGTGTCCCGTCTGCCAGCCGCCCGCCTCCTGGGCACCGCACCCCTCAAAGGTGCTGGAGCTTACCCTCCGCGAGCATGCTGCCACTGTGAGGTCCCGCTTGGGTGCCAGCTGAGGGCAGCCAAGGAGACGTGGCAGCTGAGCGGGGTGCTGTGTCCTGGAGGAGGGGCAGGGAGCGTCCTCCCCTTCATCTGCCACCCCTGGGGGCCGACAGCCAAGTGCCTGGGCACTTCCAGGCCCCAGAGGCTGCCTTCTGCAAGCCACCAGCCCCACGTTTCTGCCCCGGCCAGGCGAGGGCGCATCTGTTGTCAGGCAGAGGCTTCACCCCTCCCGGCCCCCGACTTGAGTGTGCCTGGCCTCAGTCTGTCAGCCTCTCCCCCCGCAGGGGTGAGGGCATCCACCCCTCTGGACACCGGAAGGAAAGGAAGTGGCGTTCATGGGGACCCGCAGGCACCGCGCCGTGTGCGGGGCTCTGCCGTGGCTCCCTCCGTCCCAGCTCCCGGCAGCCTGTGGGGGGGCTCTGCCGTGGCGCCCTCCGTCCCAGCTCCCGGCAGCCTGTGCGGGGGCTCTGCCGTGGCGCCCTCCGTCCCAGCTCCCGGCAGCCTGTGCGGGGGCTCTGCCGTGGCGCCCTCCGTCCCAGCTCCCGGCAGCCTGTGCGGGGGGGGCTCTGCCGTGGCGCCCTCCGTCCCAGCTCCCGGCAGCCTGTGGGGGGGGGCGGGGCTCTGCCGTGGCTCCCTCCGTCCCAGCTCCCGGCAGCCTGTGGGGGGGCTCTGCCGTGGCTCCCTCCGTCCCAGCTCCCGGCAGCCTGTGCGGGGGGGGCTCTGCCGTGGCGCCCTCCGTCCCAGCTCCCGGCAGCCTGTGGGGGGGGGCTCTGCCGTGGCTCCCTCCGTCCCAGCTCCCGGCAGCCTGTGGGGGGGGGTGGGGGGGCTCTGCCCGTGGCTCCCTCCGTCCCAGCTCCCGGCAGCCTGTGCGGGGGGGGGCTCTGCCGTGGCTCCCTCCGTCCCAGCTCCCGGCAGCCTGTGCGGGGGGGGGCTCTGCCGTGGCGCCCTCTGTCCCAGCTCCCGGCAGCCTGTGGGGGGGCGGGGCTCTGCCGTGGCTCCCTCCGTCCCAGCTCCCGGCAGCCTGTGGGGGGGGCTCTGCCGTGGCTCCCCTCCGTCCCAGCTCCCGGCAGCCTGTGGGGGGGGCGGGGCTCTGCCGTGGCGCCCTCCGTCCCAGCTCCCGGCAGCTGTGCGGGGGGGGGGGGGCTCTGCCGTGGCGCCCTCCGTCCCAGCTCCCGGCAGCCTGTGGGAGGGCTCTGCCGTGGCGCCCTCCGTCCCAGCTCCCGGCAGCCTGTGGGAGGGCTCTGCCGTGGCGCCCTCCGTCCCAGCTCCCGGCAGCCTGTGCGGGGGGGGCTCTGCCGTGGCGCCCTCCGTCCCAGCTCCCGGCAGCCTGTGCGGGGGGGGGGGCTCTGCCGTGGCTCCCTCCGTCCCAGCTCCCGGCAGCCTGTGGGAGGGCTCTGCCGTGGCGCCCTCCGTCCCAGCTCCCGGCAGCCTGTGGGAGGGCTCTGCCGTGGCTCCCTCCGTCCCAGCTCCCCGCAGCCTGTGAGCTCTGCCAGCAGAAAGTCCAGGCCAGAGCCCAGGCGACACCCAGGGCTGCGCGGCTGGGGAGGGGCTCCAGGTCCGCGGGCCTCAGAGCCCAGCCCCCTCCAGCTGCCCTCTGCCTTGCTAACCTCTGCCCTCTGCTTTCTCAGGGGAACAAACCCGAGGAGTCCAAGGGCGTCACCAGTGAAGGTAGGAGGCCTGGCCCTGCTCGCGCCCACACCCCCCGGCCCAGGCCTCAGAGCCCACCCAGCCTCTCTCTCGTTCCTCTAGAGTTTGACAAGTTCCTGGAAGAACGGGCCAAAGTGGCTGATCGGTTGCCCAACCTCTCCAGTCCCTCGGCTGAGAGACCCCCGGGGCCCCGAGCCGGCAGCGCCCCTCTGAAGAACCAAGAGAAAGAAGAGGACGTGCTGTTCGCTCTATGAGGGGGCTGGCACCCTGCGGCCCGAGCCCTGCTGCTCCCACCCCCTTGGCTGGGGCCCCTCCCCCTCGGTGTTCAGGCTGCTTTGGGGTGGCTTGTTACCCCGTCTCCTTCTCGAGGCTAGGCACGTTGTTTGGGATTGCGGGAAGGCAACAGATAAATCGGGTGAACAGATCAGGTCTTGGTTGGGATCCTGGCCACTCCTGCCTCCTTCCCCACCCAGCTGACCACTGTGACTCTGCTGAGACCCGGAGGGCCTGCGACAGACAGGCTGGCTGCTTGGTTGCCCAGGGTGACTCTCCTGCCCCGGGTGATCCCATCCCTGGGCCCACGCTCAGGGAGCCCTCTTCAGAGCCCACACTGCCAGCCGAGGCCTGGCTGGAAGCTGGAGACAGAAGCTTCTGTTGCATCTGCTGGTCCCTCCCCAGCCCCTGCCCCGTGGAGCCCGCAGGCCTGGCCAGCTGCTGAGAGCAGGGGTGGCGCTGTGCTGAGCCGCGCACTGTCCGGTACGGAGCCGCACCTGGTGGGGCCAGAGCACCTGGCCGGGCTGCGGAGGCTTCGGGCGAGCTGGAGCACCTGCCGTCCACGGCCTCCACTGCCGCCGCCTCCACCCCCTTCCTGCGGCACGGGCCCCGCCTGTGGTTGATCCTCTTGTACTGGGAGAGGTCCCTTTGAGGTCCCCAATTAAACGTAGAAAATCACTCTGCTAGCAGCTTTCAGTCTCCAAGTGGGAAGTGACTTCTTGGTCTCACCGGTGGCAGGGACCACGTTGGCACTCTGGGCTGGGGCCACCCAGGGCATGGCGTCTGCAGATGATCCAGGAGCAGGGCGGGGCACCCAGCAACACCTGTCACCCGGTGCAGGCAGGGGTGCCCCTCGCACCTCACACAGGCTGGTCCCCTCGGGGTGCCATCCCCACAGGCCCCGGGCCCGCTCCTCCCTGCAGCAGCTCGGCAGCCACAGGTGGAGCACAGTGTGGGGAGCTGCTGCCGCAGGGAGGGGCCACCATCCTGCTGGAGCCAGTGCGAGGGCTCCTGGAACCATCACAGCCCTGGGCGGAGCAGAAGGCCAGCTCGGCTGAGACCGCAGCGCCGTCCTTGTGTGAGCTGCCCAGCTGGGAAGGAGTGCAGGTGGTTGTCATGCGCTGGCACCTGGTGCGGCAGTGCAGTCCCCACTGGTCAGGAGCTGGGTCAGGTCATGCAGGGCGTCAGGTCTGGTCTCGCTCCCGGCAGCCAGGGGGCCCAGGTACAGCCTCTTCCTGTCCGAAGTTTCCGCGAGTTACCGCTGGAGGCATGTTGGCCCCGCCTGGACAGCCCTGTGGGGGACGGGAAGGGGACTGTGGGGCTGGGCTATTGACCTGCCCGAAAGGTCAACCCATAGCGGAGGGCAGAAGTCGACAAGCCTGGGGGGGTCCAGGGGTCCAGGCAGGAGTGTGGCCTGGGGCCTCTCTGAGCAGTGGGCAGGGGGACAGGTGTGGCCTGGAGCTGGGCACCCAGGAGACCTGCGCTGGCAGCCCTCCAGGGGGTCGGGGCAAGGAAACAGCTCGGGCTGGTGCGGCAGGACCTTCGGCTTGTCCGTCCCCTGAATGGAGGAAGGGGCCCAGGTCAAAGCTTGCGGGTGAGCTGGGCCTGGAGGAAGGCAGCGGCTGGATCTCTGACCATGTTCCCAACCTCAGCCACCTTTTGTGCAAGGAGAGCAGCCGTCCCTCTCCCCTGAGCAGCCACCATGAGCCTGGTCCGACCGCTCCTGAGATGTGGCACCCTGGGCCCTGGCCCTCCAGTCATGCCACACTCCGTCCGTCCAGACGAGGTCCCCTGCGTCCTGTGTCAGCTGTGTGTAAGTGTCCCCTGGACGAGATGCAGCCTTGCTCGGTTACTGGAGGCGACCCTGTGCTGAGGGTGGAGGCTTACACCCTGCCCAAGGCTGCTGCTCCTCAGTATCTGGAAGAAGCCAAAGTGCACGTGCCATGCTGTCCCGGGGCCCCTCCGCTGGTGCCCCCTGCCCCCCCCCCCCGGACACCAGCACCCCTCCGTCTTACCCTGCTCAGATCACGCAGAGGAGGCCAGGTGCTGGGACTTTGTCCCTGGTCTGAATGTCCGCTGGTTTTATCTGGCCCTGCTGCCCCTCCAGTTGGCACTGACAGCAGGTGGGACCGAGGCCCCTTCTGGGCCACTGCTGGCTGGCTGCCAGCAACAGCACCCGGGACCCAGGGTCTGGACAAGCTGGATTCTGCGCTTCGTCCGGCGTGTTGGAGGAAGGCAGGGCAGCATGAGGTGGTCAGATAGCGCTTCGGCAGTAATCGCTCAGTTACTCCCTCCCTCCTGGCTTGGCTGGACTGCCGGGCATGCACATGCACACGTGTGCACACATGCACACGTGTGCACACATGCACACATGCACACGTGTGCACACATGCACACGCACAGGGCACGCTGTCCTGGGGCACTCTGGCTCACAAAGGCATTACAGGCAGCTGTCCCGGCCTGGCCTGGGACGCGGGGCCATCTCACAGGACAGCAGAGGGGCTCCCTGAGCTCCCTGCCCTTGCCCTGCAGCCCGCCCTCCCCACCACGCCCAGCGGAGCGGCTGGGCACCTGGCAGCAGCCCGGGGAGTGGGCAGACTGCTTCCGGCAGGGAAATGGGGGCTGGGAGGTGAGCGCCGGCCCAGTCACACACTGAGTGTGGGGGAGGGGCCCCGGCCTTGACGCGCTGCCTGCCAGAAGCCCAGGGAACCGGCACGTGGCTTCAGGCACTGGTGGCCCTGCTCACGGCTGACACGGCCACGTGGGTGAGTCCTGGAGTGGTGTCCACCGAGCGCCAGCCCTGCTGGGTCACATGGGAGGAAAGTGGCAATAAAGACAGCTGTAAATTGAGAAGGTGTTCCTCTGAAACGAAGCGAAGGGATGGAGGTGAGGGAGGGCCTCTGCCGGGGGCCCAAGGCTGGAGAGGTAAGGTGGGCCAGGCAGGAGGGGACCAGGAAGGCCACCAAACCTCCCCTGGGCGGGGTAGCACTGGGCATCCCCCCTGCAGGGCCCTCCTCCAGAGAGAAGGCTGCTGGGGCTGACGCAGGCGAAGGAGCATGGGCAGGCGCTCCGGGCGCTGGCCGGGCTGATCCCGCAACAGCTGCAGGAAGTCTCTCGCCCCCCATAAAAGGGGACCAGATGCTGGTGGGGTATTGGTCTGTGTGCCCACAGAACAGGGTTAATGAGGCACCAGCAGCTTCTACTGGGCCCAGCTGCCTCAGAAGGTGGCACATGACCAGGGGCGTGGGGAGTGGAGTGGCCCGGCCGGCCGGAGGGTGAGGCCTGCAAGGGCGTGCTCACCAGAGCGCGCGGGGAACCTCGAGGCGGAGCCTCCATGCCTTCCTGGCCTCCCTGGGCCGCCAGAACCCCCAAGGTCAGCATCCAGCCTCTCCAGTTGTCTATAACAGCAAATCCTGGCATGGCCGCCTCCGAGCTGTGTGACCTTAGGCAGATTACTTAACCTCACGGTGCCCGTTTTCTCGCTTGTAAACTGAGCTACAGCAGGGCTGTTGACAGGGTTGACCGGAAGGGCAGGAGCACAGCACAGGTCAGACAGCACGGCCACCCGTCGGGGAGGGTGCCCTCCATCCAGACCGGCCTCTGCTCCAGACACCCGGCCAGAGCCCTGCCTCTGGCGCCAGGTACTTTCGGGGACTCTGCTCGCTGCCGTCAGAATAACCTCAATCCCCGTGACAGTGCCTTTGCGCCCCTCTCCTGGGCCCGGGCTGCTGCCCCTAAGGGGGGCCACGGGAGCCAGCAGGGTCCGGCCATGTTTCCTGGATCAGGCTCCACAGACTGAGTGGATACTTCTGGAAGCCCCTCTGCAGGTGGCACAGGCTCAGGTCAGTGTTCCACAGTGACCACAAGATGGCAGCAGAGCCGCACGGTGTGGGGGGGGGCAGCAGTTCCTCTCCCCAGCACCGACCTGGGGAGGGGTGGTTTCTGCCAGCCAGCTCCTGCACTGCCCCTCTCTGTCCTCAATGCCACTGCACAAGGGTCTTTGTCCCCAAACCCAAGCCTCGCGTAACCTGCCTTTTTCCTCCCCATCACACACACACCACACACACACTTCTCTGACTGCTGGAGCTGGGAGCTCAAGCGGGAAGCATCTGTAGGAAGACTGGACAGGACACCAGCCTGATTTACACCTCCCAACCCACAGGGTTCTGGGGAGGCTTCGATGAGACGATCTGGGGGCCAGCAAACAGGCCAGCCCTGTCCCCTCTGGGCCCCCGAGCTGTGGGCACCACACACACAAACATGCCTTCTCAGTGGGCACCTTAGCTCTGTGCGCATTTCTAGATCTACCTACGTTTGTAGGAAGCAGAGGTCGCTCCAATAACTCCAGTGTCACTCCAGCACCAGACTCCTTCCAGCGTGGCCCTCCCATGTGTGTGACTTCCTTCTCCAACAGGGAGAAGCCTGGGTGCCCTTTCCCGGCGTGTACGGATTGCCTGCTGACGCCCTCCTCTCCTTGCTTGGGTCTCCACATGCCGGGTGCACCACCAGAGCCCCTGCCCAGACCCTCCTCACCCATCCCCGGCTCCAACACCCCCCTCAGGGCCACTGCTGCACCTGCCCTGCCTGGTCTGGGACAGGTGGTGAAAGAGGAAGCGGAGGTTTCAGTTTACGAATGATCAGAGTAAACTCAGAAGTGATTTCTCAGTCCCTTTGCCCACACACCATCCAAACATGTACAGTTCTGGCATTGACCCCTGCAAACTACCCCTGCCCAGCCTTTGCATCAGAAAGCACCACAGTGCTCAGTGTGTCAGTTACCTGGGGCGGCCACAAGGGGCGCCACAGAGTGGGGCTTAAACAGCAGAAATGTTTGGTCTCACAGTTCCGGGGTGAAAGCCAAGGGGCAAGCAGGGTGTTTTCTTCTCCTTGTCTTGCAGATGGCTGTCTTCCCCCTATGTCTGTGACCTAATCCCCTCCTCTTATGAGGACACCAGTCCGATTGGGTTAGGACCCTGCTTACCCTAATAACCTCATCTAGCCTCAATCACCTCTTTAAGGCCCTGTCTCCAAACCCTGTGGGATTCTGAGGGCCTGAGCACTAGGACTTCAACAGCCGGAAGCAGGAGGGCACACTCAGTCCATGACGGGCCCTCTGGCCGCTCTCCCGGGCACCCTGCTCGGCACCACCCGACCCACTTCCAGGCCCCTGCCTCCTCTCCCGGCACTGGCGTGAGGGGAGCTTGTAGCTCCATCCTTGGGCCACCTGGTCTTCGGAACCCAAGGAGCACCAGCCATCGCGGCCAAAGGCCACCAGAGTGGGGAGAGATGGAGGGAAGGCCCAGGCATGGGATCCTGGGCTGGGGGCCGGCCTCCGGGTCCCCACCCGCCGTGTTTAGAGCAGGTCCAAGGCAGTGAGCTGGCAGGGTTCACTTCTGCCCTCCCCAGGGCAGGACCATGGTGGGAAGAAGTCCCCTGGGCCTGACTTCTCCCCTTGCCTGTGACTCAGGACTCAGCCTCTCCCTGCCTGCCCTAGGACAGCCTGCACCCTCCCCCACCATCCGGCTGCTCGAGGCTGCGACTGCACTTCCAGGCTTGGCCGACAGAGGGGAGGAGCCCACACCCACTGGGGCCCAATTCCCGGCGTCTGAGTCAGGTTGGCAGGGCCACTGCAATACAGACAGGGAAACTGAGGCCCAGGGGCGGGTGCTGCC